CAAACGTATATAAATAATTTTACTTCAGAAAAATCAACATAAAAGTAAACAAATTAAATTTAAATAAAAGAATACTTGTAAATTGTATGTGGATTGATTACAACTTATAAACCACAAAAACCTTAATTAACATAGTTATTTTTTATCGGTCGTTGATAAACAACCTTTTGTTTTTAAATCTTTTAATGACAATTGAATTGTGACAAAATTTTATGTTTATTAAACTTTTCATGTTTTTAAATATGTAACTAATGAAAAAATACGGGCTCAAAATAAGTCAGTTGGCGTATACTAGACGACACTTTTGGGATCATTTGAAGTGTGTGTATATTTTGGGGATTTTCCTATACTAAAGTCCTACCATGACGAGCAGCGGTAGCGAGGTAGCGGGTTTGAGTTTGAGGAGCGTGCGAAACGCGGCTTATTTTATAGTAATTTTATTTTGTTAATTACATTATTTTAATGTGGATCTATTTAAAAATAATTTCTGTTACATATTCTTTATCGAATAAAGTTTCACATGAAAGATGATACATTACTCCTACAAATAGTTGCAAGTTTGAAATAAATCACGACATTTTATACTTGAAACAACCTTTTTTTAAATATTTTTTCCAAATCTCTAATTAGAAATAATGTGGTTTACAACATAACTATCCAATAAAAATGTGTATTGACGGTGAAAGAATATTCACCACTCCAAATAATTGTTTTTTATAAGATAAGGGTGACAAACCAGCACACAGTCCACCTGATGGTAAGTGGTTGCTGTGGCCCATAGACATCTACATCTATATTCGATTAAGAATCAAAATGCAGATGCGTTGTCACCCGTGAGGACTAAGATGGAATGCCTCGTTTCCAGTAAAAAGGGTCTCCGGTTCTCTACACTCACCATACGAAACACAGCAGCGTTAAGCTGCTATTTTACGCTGGTATTCTGTGAGAGCGTGGTCCTTCCCCGGTCGAGCCGACCCATTCGTGCTACAACCATAATATAGCTGCAGCATGGCTCTACCACGTATAAATCTCGTCTAATCTCGTGGGTGTGGTAAAAGGCAGATGGAAATCAGGAGATGGGTAACGGCATCTTCCTAACAACAACTAGTTCCAAGGAAAAATGCGGTTGTCAACCCGCCTGGCAAAAGTGGAAATTATGAAAAATACCCCCTTATGAGGTTTTCCGTTGGATAGACTTATGTTCAGTAGTTGACTTTGATAGATCGTAATGAATGAATAAACAATGTATATTTGATCTTAACATAATTTTAGAAACTGTTAGAACACTTCAAAGCAACTAAGATTTTTTTCTCGTTAAGTGACTTCGTAAAATGATTTTTGTAAGATAATTTATAATATAAAATAAATATGAACGTCTTAAATATTATTAGGTATTCAAGAAGAGATATGGAATTTTCATAAACTACCAGCACATTATTAAAATACTTTCATTATTATTTCTATTATATTTAAATTTAAAGTTTCTGAGAATAACTGTATCTAGAAAAAAAAAAAGTACTGGAAATAACTTCGCTTTTAGCACTAATGTTATAATAATATATACATTTAAACGAAAATATTTTTTATTATAACTACTTTATTGTATAAACCATAACGTTATACCAATTTATTTAAAAAAAAAAACACGAATTAAGTAAATTCTTTCTTCTTAGCAGTAAAAAATAGTCGCAATGGTTGCAACATATAAGATATGATCCGCCATCTTGAAAGATACTGTCATCATTCACTTGGATCATTCACACACAAACCTTGGGGGTGCGCGCGTTGCCCACCGGCTCGCTTTAAAAAAATGATGTATCGGCCATGTCAGAGACTTCACAGTGGCCGTAGGTATGTCGGCACTTGTCGTTTAGTTTAGATGTAAATAAAATTTTTAGAAATAATAAATTTAGTTAGTTATTTGATTAGAAACGCTAAAATCCCATTCATAGTACACCTATACGTCCCTGAAACTACCAACGGATTGTTTGTTACATACTGTACAAATTGTTTAATCCACTGTGATTGTTTAAATCTTTATTAACCTTTATTTTTTAATAAAAGATCATTCTTATGAAACCCACATTTCCCATATTACAAAAAACATTGATAATATTTTAATTTTGTTCATAAATAAAAAGTAATAATTAAAATAATACCTAGAAAGTGTACACTCTGGCCCCACCCTTTGCCGTCAGCTATTAATTACGGGCTCGCGGACTTCGCAATGTGACAAACCAATGAAATAAAAGAAATTGCAAATGGCTACATACAATGCGTGGTTTTTGAGACATTCATGAACATCCTACGAAGACGAACGTGATGAATATGTAACTTGTGCAAAACACTAAAAGTAATTTATTCATGTCCAGGGTGCGTATACTGACACTGCGAGATGCGTCTGTGTGGTTAGAAAATATCAATGTAGGTGTTCTATTAGAAGTTCCCACGCTCAAGGATTACAATCTTAATACGTTGATATTTATTTTATATTATAAATTATCTTACAAAAATCATTTTACGAAGTCCCTTAACGAGAAAAAATCTTAGATGACGATGTTTTGAAGTGTTCTAACAGTTTCTAAAACTATGTTGAGATCAAATACACATTGTTTGTTCATTCATTACGATCTATCAAAGTCAACTACTGAACATAAGCCTATCAAACGGAAAACCTTATAAGGGGGTATTTTTCATAGTTTCCACTTTTGCCAGGCGGATTGACAACCGCATTTTTTTCCTTGGAACTAGTTGTTGTTACTTGTTAGGAAGATGTCGATACCCATCTCCTGATGTCCATCTGCCTTTTACCACACCCACGAGATTAGACGAGATTTATACGTGGTGTGGTAGAGCCATGCTGCAGCTATATTATGGTTGTAGCACGAATGGGTCGGCTCGACCGGGGAAGGACCACGCTCTCACAGAACACCAGCGTAAAATAGCAACTTGACGCTGCTGTGTTTCGTATGGTAAGTGTAGAGAACCGGAGACCCTTTTTACTGGAAACGAGGCATTCCATCTTAGTCCTCACGGGTGACAACGCATCTGCATTTTGATTCTTAATCGAAGATAGATGTAGATGTCTATGGGCCACAGCAACCACTTACCATCAGGTGGACTGTGTGCTCGTTTGTCACCCTTATCTTATAAAAAAAAAATATTTGGAGTAGTGAATATTCTTTCACCGTCAATACACATTTTTATTGGATATTTATGTTGTAAACCACATTATTACTAATTAGAGATATGGGAAAAATATTTTTAAAAAAAAAGGTTGTTTCAAGTATAAAATGTCGTGATTAATTTCAAAGAGAAATGTATTATGCATCTTTCATGTGAAACTTTATTCGATAAAGAATATGTAGCAGAAATTATTTTTAAATAGATCCACATTAAAATAATGTAATAAAAAAATAAAATTACTATAAAATAAGCGGCGTTTCGCGCGCTCCTCAAACTCAAACCCGCTACCCGCTCGTCATCGTAGGACTTTAGTATAGGAAAATCCCCAAAATTTAAACGCACTTCAAATGATCGCAAAAGTGTCGTCTAGTATACGTCAACTAACTTATTTTGAGCACGTATTTTTTCATTAGTTACATATTTAAAAACATGAAAAGTTTAATAAACATAAAATTTTGGTCACGATTCAATTGTCAATAAAATATTTAAAAATAAAGGTTGTTTATCAACGACCTGCACGACGTGCACTCACCTCAAAAATTGAGGCGGCACTGAATTTTTTTCACGCGTGTTCTCTATTATAAAGCGAATTACGGAAACCTCACCGTTTCATACTAAAATGTATGGACGATTTCTGTTAAAAAATGAATGATATTTAGTCTCAGATTGTTGCTTTTTGGTTTGAATTAGTAAAATTAATGAACAGTGAATGTGTTTTTTATACTTTTAGCTCACGTTTTAACCAAAAAGATTTTTTAAAATAATAACGAAATGGCCTAGAGATTTAAAATAGAAAAGGCCGTTTTAACTGTTTTTACCGTTGTTGAAGATTTTTTTTCTCGAAAATCAAGATGTTTTTTATAAATATCACACGGTGAAAATGTAGACCCATCTATTAACTAATTGAGATTTTTTTGTGGTGTCATTCACGAAATGGCCTAGAGATTTAAAATAGAAAAGGCCGTTTTAACTGTTTTTACCGTTGTTGAAGATTTTTTTTTCTCGAAAATCAAGATGTTTTTTATAAATATCACACGGTGAAAATGTAGACCCATCTATTAACTAATTGAGATTTTTTTGTGGTGTCATTCAATGAAGTCAGTTCTTTAATATTTTTAAAACCGTAACTGCCAATTTGCGCGTTTCTTAAGGACCGGCACCTTAAGGATAGTGGTGGGTCGTTGTCGAATTTTTGACGGACGAAACGCAACCGTTTTCCCGACGACGAAAACTATTCCAGAAAACAGTCGTCGTTGCAACTGGTTTGAAGACGGTTAAAAGGACGAAACTTATCCAACACGGAATAGAATTGCGTTTTCGTCGAGTGAAATGATTGCAGTTTCTCACAACTAAGGTAAGGACTGTTTTGTCTCTGTCTACGTTTGTAAACGAACGCGGAACCAAAGACTAAAATATAACGCGGAACGTTAAGGACGACGACACGACCAGTGAGATAGATAGTTGAATCATTGCGTTCTCGACTGTATTTTCATAGGCGTAAAATAAAAAATCACACCAAGTAATTCGAAGACTGGTTTGTGCAACGAAAACTGTTTGAACCCAGGACGTAAAACGGTTTCATCGTCGCAGAACACTAAACGTTCTTTGTAAACGGTTCGTCGTCGCAACGCCCACCCCTAGTTAAGGATCAAACGATTGACAGGATCTACGGACCCAAAAAGTATAGTAATGTCCGCTGACCAACATTATCGAGCGGGTCTCACAGATCAAAGTACTGAATCTGAATCGGAATTAATAACAATGAGAAATTGACTTCTCACCCTTCTCTTTGCCATCTTTTTCCTTCTTTCTCTCGTCCTTCACCAACTTGCAGTACTCTCTAAAGTAATCTTCTCTTAGGGTACTGCTTTCCACTGCCTTGTACCTCGGGTCGAGGTCAACCTTCTTCTTGATTTCCGCCCATCTTGAATGTCTGCCCACTGACTTCTCTTTCAGAAGCGCTATGAAGTCAGATTTTACCTAAAAGGAGATAAGAATAAGTCAGAGGGAGTTCAAAACTGGCGCGGTGTGGAGAGGAGTTCGTGAGTCGGACCTTGAAAAGGAATGTTGTGTTTTACTCAGTTTTAATTCAAAATATAAATAATACTAGCTTTCTAAGAAATTTCGCGATATCTTCTATTTAAGAACGAAAGAAAAAGGACACAATTTTTTTTTGCATTGTTGCAAAGCCGTTACTCAACATTCCTTGCTCACCATCCAACCCCCTACCATCCCAAAAAAAAACACACTATGCCACTGAAAAAGAGAGTGCATCATTAGCAGCTGAAAAGAGACAACGATAATTAGGAGCTGTGAAAAGAAAAAAATAATTAGATCCTGAAATAAAATATTGATTATTTTGTCAACGGTCGAAAGTAAAGGTTCAATGGTATATTTTAATGTACTCTTAGTAAGCAAGAGTGACACAGGTATATAAAGAACATAAAACACTACTGCAGACAACTTATTTTTTTTTGGAGGAAGTCAGCCGCATTGCCTCAATGCGAGTTGACGGGCTCCACAAGTCGTTAATTTCTTAGCCATGCATGTTTTTTCACTGTATTCCTTCGCCGCCGACCATATGGTGAATCAGCACTTAAGTTGCAATGAACAGTTTTATTTTTGTCGGCCAAATCGAACACTATCATAGGCCCAATTCCCCCCCCCCCCCCCCATCAACATGGTAGCGGAATTACGTCATAAACTACCATAAGTACCCCTGGAGAATCCCTCGCTGAGCATCCACGACCATGTTATTCCACTCCTGAGCGTGGGTGCTCAGGCTGCCCCGCGTATTCTGAAGGGGGGGGGGGGGCAAAATTCCATTCAATAACTGCTCGGGGCAAACTGAGCAACAAGACCAAGGCGACCCCTGCCACGCTATCCGTGAATTTCTGCAACATCAGGGGACTTCACTCGAACGTAAACGCCGTCCATTACCACGACGACCATCTCGAGACGGCGAAGCCGGCCTTGCTCTTTCTGACCGAGACGCAGGTGTCCTCTCCGGCTGATACTTCGTATCTCTCCTACCCGGGGTACAAATTGAAGCACTCCTTTGTGCCTCGGGCTGGAGTTTGCGTGTATGACAGAGAGGACATCTGTTCTCGACGCCTCGGCAGTCTTGAAGGTTCGGACCTGTCCATCCTTTGGCTACGCGTAGTCAGCGACGACCATCCGCGCGTCTACGTGTGCCTCTATAGGTCCCATAGCGGTAATGCCGAAACAGACAGACTCATCGACCACGTCCAAATGGCTACAGATTCCTTGCTACAACAGGTCCCATCCGCAGAGATCGTGATCCTTGGCGATTTTAACGCCCACCACGCCGAATGGCTCGGTTCACGTTTAACCGATCATGCGGGGAGATCTGTTTATGACTTTGCCTTGGCATATGGTCTGACACAACTGGTTACATCGCCTACGCGGATTCCAGATGTTAAGGATCATACACTTTCCCTGTTGGACCTTCTGCTGACCTCTCATCCGGACGGATATAAGGTTTCCGTCGATGCCCCTCTTGGCTCTTCGGACCATTCTCCGGACTGATCCGGAGTGTGGTGCCACTCACGCTCCCCTCGCGGTTGCGTTCTGCAGGTAGCCGCCGTGTTTGGCATTACAGGTCGGCGGATTGGGACAGAATGCGGTCTTTCTTTGCTTCCTACCCATGGGGGCGGGTTTGCTTCTCGCCGGATGATCCTAGCGCTGTTGCTGACTCTGTCACTGATGTGGTGCTACAGGGAATGGAACTATTTATTCCATCATCTGTGGTACCCATCGGAGGCAGAACTCAGCCTTGGTTTGGTCGCTCCTGTAAGACTGCTTTACGCAGTAAGCAGGAGTGTTATCAAGCCTGGGCTGCGGCTCGGGATGTAAACACCAGCATACTTAAAAAGAAGTATAACTTCGCCTCCAGGTCCTTCAAAAGAGTTATTGCCAAGGCAAAGTCAGAGCACATAGGCAGAATTGGCGAGAAACTAGTTCGCCTTCCTTCGAACTCCTACAAATAGTTGCAAGTTTGAAATAAATCACGACATTTTATACCTCTGCGGCGACACGCCAGTCGCGGACTCGGCTGGCGACAGAGGGGCTAGTAAACGAGACGTCCACTATCAACCCACCCCGCTGCCGCACGCACGTGTATTCCGAACCCCGATTCAGGACGACCAGACCAGTCGTCACCGTCCACTCTTCTAGCACCTCGCCCCGAGGGTCAGTGACCGGAGATCCCCATGCCGATGACTTGGCGTTGAGATCCCCGAGCACCAGAACGGGACGAGGGTGATAGCGGCCTACGACGGCGCCCAACTCGACAAGGAAACCCTCAAAGTCGGCGAGACTCTTGTTGGGGGAGAAATATGCCCCTACAACAACGATGCCGCCCGAGACCGCAGCAACCCAGCCGCGGCCCCGAGACGGGTCGATCAGAGTCTCGCCAATAATGGCCACCAAACCGTCAGCGCATCCCAACCAGTTGTCACGGGCGAGAATGAAGTACGGTTCGGCGACCACAGCCACGTGAATCGACCACTCTGCCATGCTCTGGAGTAGGAGATCCTGAGCTCTGGCACAGTGGTTGATGTTGCCCTGGAGAAAATGGAATTGTGCCATTACTGGCATTCCATTCCCTCGGCAACGGTCCTGAGCCGGGAGTCGGCCGCGGAGCTGCTAGCCTGCGGGGGTAGCGAGGTTAACCCGACAGGCTTAGTGCTCCTCTTCTTTTCCTTTTTCTTCTTCTTGCTGGCAGGCGCCCCACAGGCCCCTCCGCCTACTCTGTGCTCCGCTGGCCTTCCCGCAGCAGAACAAAGGCTGCAGTTGAGCGCCGCGGAGCACAGGTCAGCCTTATGGCCAGGCTGGCCGCAGCGATAACAGAGGTCACTACGGTCAACCTCGGCGGTGCACTTCGCCCGGACGTGCCTTTTTTCCAGGCACCGAAAGCACTGCAAAGCCCGGGGCTGTAAGAGCTTGGTCCTTGCCGCCACCCAGCCTACCAGCAATCTGCCGCTATCGGCGATCTTCTTCGCCGACGCTACAGGGCACCGAACCCAGACCGCGCCGAGTCCGGTGGCGTCGGTGCGTATATCGCCAGCCCGCACCTTGTCCGGCGGACACTCTCCGCTTCTGGCAACGGCCGCCACCACCTCCTCAGAGGTCACGGAGTCGTCCAGGCCAGCAATCCGCACCTCTGCGGTTTTCATTGGTCTGGAGACCCGGACGTCCTCAGGGTTGAGGACCTCCCTCATCTTGGCGGCCAGTGCGTCCGCCTTTTCGGCACTGCCGCTCACAGTGCCAGCCACCTCGAACAGCCGTGCACCCGTGGCAGCCTGCCTAAGGGTGACGGACTAAAGGCCAAGATCAGATAATTTGATCTTGGCCTTGGCCTCGGCGATGACCGACTGGTACGTCACGCCACGCTCCACAGCTTCGGGCTGCAACGTTAGCGTCACAGCGTTGGACCGCGGAACATGTACAGCCGGTCTCTTGCGACCGCCTTTGGCAGTCCGCCGTGCAGGTTTAGGAGCCGTCTTTGCGGTTCCACCTGGGGCACATGCAGCTGCTGCGGCCTTCTTGGCGGCTTTGCGGGCCTTCTTGCGGCCCACGACTTTCGCCCAGGTCTCACCCTTAGACCCGGCAGTCGTGGGCTGGTTGCTCGGAGGAGCTCCCTCCGCGGGCTTTTTGTTACCCTCCGCGGGCTTCCCCTTTTGAGGCACAAGTCTCGGCGGCTCCTCAGTCCTCCGCGTGTCAGCCGCTAAAGGCGGACGGAGGATTTCCGCCGGGAGACGCCGAGAAGCACGTCGGGCCATTTCAGACACTTCGTCGGCCGCGACGGCTTTGCGCTGCTCCCTCTTGGCGGCATTGAGCTCCGCCTTTGAGCTCCCCAGCGAGGCACAGCTTTCACCGCCATCGCCAGGGTCCTCCGTAGTGAACCCCATGTCACTCTCTGCTTCGCTAGCCGCCGAGGTATTGGAGCACACGAACCGTCCGTGCTTATCCCTCCGCGGCTGCGAAGTACTCGCCCCTCTCGATGCCTGCCGACCCCTCCCCGAAGTCGGCAACTTGGGGGCCGGCAGGCCTTCCTCGTCTGACGATCGGCACACTGGACGTTTCCTAGCGGAAGACGTCCCACGCGATCGATTTCCGCCGCTACCAGTATCAGATCCTGCCTTTTCTACCTCTACTGTTTTTTTTAAATATTTTTCTTTGTCCATTTTTTATCCCACGAGTGTGGAGGAAATAACAGTCCATCCGAGCAGCGCCTCCTTTGCTCGGATAAGCCTATGCGTAACCGTCAAGGGTGTCGGCCGGTACCCCGACGGGGGCAACGCTAACGACTGAACATTTACCCATCAGCCATGCAGCTCCTCACGGCGTGCCACGCTTGAGCTTCGGGTGATTTTGTAAAGAGGTTATCATCCTCGCGACTCCAGGCGGTTAAGTCAAGAGCCCTCGGCCCCTTAGGCGCCGCAAGACGTGATCCACGACACGCCATAGGGATTCCGAGGTTCGAATGGTGGCAGAGTCGATACGGGTTCTTCCCATGCCTGCCCAGAGACCGGGTTAGGGAACACTGAGCCCATTCAGTTTCCTTTTTTACAGGGTGTGGTCCCTGAAAATCCCGCGATTACGGGTTGCCCGGCGTCGGCAAAAGCAGAGTGCACCTGGCACCTCACCGCGCATGTCACATTCTCTGTTCCTCTCAAGGGTGAGGATACAGGAAACAACTACCAGTCCTAACACAAGCATTTTAATCGTACTTGGCGTGATTAAATTATTATTATTATTATTATTTATAGAATTACTGGGATTTTTAAGTAGAAAAATCCTGATTTCATTTTACCCGTATTTTTTCGTGAATTACTGTGTAAATTTACATTTAAATTGCCTTTTTCAAAATTTAAACATTCCATTGTAATAAATATAACTGAATGATATATCGCAAACTCTATTTAACAATTTTATACTGATTTATTATTTTTGAT